AAACTGTAACCATGTAACACGTAATGTACCATATAAAAGATAGAAAATCACCATTTAATATAGGTAATAGGCATTGGGGAAAACTGTAACCATGTCACACGTAATGTACCATATAAAAGACAGCAGCAGCCCTGGGTGGGAGAGAAGAAGCAGTCGGGGTCAGAGAGGATGTCAGGGTGTGTGTGTGCCTCTGCCTGAGCTGTGAGCAAACCACAGCAGCCCAAGGAGAAAATCTTTTAGAAAACTTGCAATAAACTGCCTTGAGAGCCAACAACAGAGACTGCTGAGCCTTTCTTGGGAAGCTCGGGTTGGATGAGAAATTTTTCCACCACATGAAACCACCCCTGACCTAGGCTGGTCTGGCACTCCCCCTCCTCTCCTCATGGTGCTCTTGCTGCCTTTAAAGTCAAACATTTGCAGGTGGAAGTCCCCAGGCTGAGCAGTGGGGCTGGGTGGAACCTCTGCTGCTGCCTGGCTGCCCAGCAAACACAGGAGCACCAGGAATTCCATATTCCCTCTTTGTGCCTGCAGGGAGAACCAGGAATTACAGAACCACAGAACACTTTGAGTTGGAAGTGACCTTAAAGCTCTCCTTGTTCCTCCCCTTGTCACAGGCAGGGCCACCTTCCACCATCCCAGGTTACTTCATGGGAGACTTTGCCTGTGCTGATCAAATATTCCATTTTCTAGGTGGGACAGACCTGGCCTAGCTCATCCTTTCTCTCAGAACTCTTTGTTTTAAACCCCCCTATTTAGGGGTATTTATTATTTACCCATCTGCCATGTAAATCTGTACCACACGGCACTTTCTGATCACACACAGGTTTATTAGGGACACCAACCACCTCTGTTCCCCAAGGTGAGCAGCAAGGTGTTGGCATCATTAGCTGGGCCTGAGAGGTGCCAGGATGAGCTGGAGCTGTCCCAGCCTTGCATCTGCCCCATTTTTGGGCAGCACTGACACCAGCACAGCCTCTGGCCTCCTCAGCTGTCAGTTCCTGCAGTTCAAGCCTCTCCCAGGTGCTCTTCCAGGTCAGGGCTGGGTGGGGAGCAGAATGTGGCAGGGGAGGCACTGGGATGTCTGTGCAGCCCTCCAGCCCACCCAGCAGGCAGTGGTGGCTTTGTTGAGGCACTTCCACGTGGCAGATGAGTGTTCAAGCCTCAGAGACTGTGATAAAATTAACAAAAAAAAACAAACCCAAAAAAGTCCTAAAGGAGCAGCAAAGTCCAGCAGTTCTTCCCAGAGACACTTTATCCACAGGCAACCCCTTTGAAAACAAGCCAAACCCCTAATTCCATGGCTTCCCTGTTTTGATGAATCCCCAGATGCATGAAAGCCCTTGCAGGAGAGCACACCCCGTCCGTGCTGAGAGATGCTTTGTATAAATAGCTCATGTACATCTGCTACACAAAATATTCTGTCCACGCGGCGTTCCTCCGTTTGCTGAGGAGCTCCCAGGGCAGGAGCTGGCAGCAGCTGCTCGTGCCCAAGGCCCCAGGCAGTGCTGGCCGCTGGGTTTGGGGTGAAAACCCCCTTTTCCAGCAGCCCCAGGAGCTATTCCTTCAGCAGCCCCAACTTCTTGAGCGCCTCGCGCCGGTTCTCGTCGGCCGCGCCCTTCGGGGAGATCTTCACGCTCACGGCGGAGCGCGGTGGCCTGGGGAAGCTGGGCAGAGGGTGGGACCTCCTCTTGCTGCTCTTGTCCTTCTCCTCCTGCTCCTTCAGGCCACCAAAGTCCTTCCCTGCCCCGAGGGAGGCGGGCCGGGGGCGGCTGCGGAGGAAGCTGGGGGCCAGGCGCTCGATGAAGGACATCTTGCCCAGGGAGCTGCTGCTGCTCCGGGTGTTCTGCTCCTTGGCGCTGCCCATGGAGCTGCCCAGCCCCACCCCGGAGCGCTCCAGGGTGTTGGATTTGAAGGTGATCTGCCGGATCCCTGTCACGGAGCCCTCCCCGGGCTGCCCAGCGCTGGGGAGCGGCGGCTCCCTGGCGTGGGGATGGAGGTGGGCGCTGGGCTCCCTCCTGTCCTGGGGCAGTCCCAGCTTCTCCAGGGCTTCCCGCCGGGCTTTCTCCTTCTCCTTGGGGTCGAGGTGGCCTGAATTCCCCTTTTCAGCAGTGCTGTCGCTGGCAGGGCTGGGGTGGGAGGTGGCTGAGGCTGGAGGTGCTGCTTTTGCCTTCTGGTTGTGCTCCAGCACGGGGCTGTTCCTGCTGGTCTTCAGGATGATGTTTGGGGGCAATTTCCGCGGTTTGGGGGCGGTTGGAGGCCCACGCTTGGCATCGGGCTCCTGAGGGGCCTCTTCCAGTGTGGATTTCTCCGGGTGGCCCCATGCAGTCCGAATCTTGGTCTCTTTGGCCTCCTCCCCCTTGGCATCTGAGCTGCGCGACCACTCCAGGTCATCCTGGAAGGGGTCTGGAGGTTGGATAATCACGGATTTGGTGTGGCTTCCTGCGCTGGCTTGGTCCAGCCGTCCCTCCTTGGGCACCTCCTGGGCAGGTTGTCCTGCTGGCACGGTGTGGACACCTCCTTGGCTGCCAGAAGCTCCGTTTGCTGCAGGGATGTTCCTCGGAAGGCTGGAACAACCTGGGCCTGGAGCAGCCGCTGGGGCCGAGCTGGACAGGGCAGAGATGCTTCCACCACTCCTCTGTTCAGCCCCACGCTGCTGATCTCTGCTTGGAGGGGGAGTCCTGTTCCCCAAAGCTGGGAAGAGAGGGGTTAAAGTCATGCTCTGGCCATAGAACACTGCTCAGAATCACAGAATCCCAGAATAATGAGGTTAGAAGAGACCTCTAAGATCATCAAATCCAACCTATGCCCTGACACCTCAACTAGACTACAGCACCAAGTGCCACGTCTATTTTCTTTTAAACACATCCAGAGATGGTGATTCCACCACCTCCCTGGGAAGACAATTCCAGTACTTTATTATTCTTTTGGTGAATTTTTTTTTCCTAATATCCAACCTAAACCTTCCCTGATGTAGCTGAGGCTGTGTCCTCCTGTTCTGTCAGTGCTGCCTGGTGGGAGAGACCGACCCCACCTGTCTGCAGCCTCCCTTCAGGAGCTGTGGAGAGCAATGAGGTCACCTCTGAGCCTCCTCTTCTCCAGGCTAAACAACCCCAGATCCTCCAAACGTTCCTCACAGGGTTTGTGTGCCCCTCTCCAGCCTCGCTGCCTCCTCTGGACGTGCTCAAGCATCTCAATGTCCTTCCCAAACTGAGGAGCCAGAGCTGGACACAGCACTGAGGTGCTCCCCCCTTCTGGGCCAGCACAGAACTCCCCCAGCCCCTCTGATCCATCCCTGCTGGGAAATGGGATCCTTTGGGCCTGGAAAAACCTCATTAATCCCCATTAATCCTCATTACTGACACTAAGCACGAGCCATGCAAGGTATTCAGATATTGTGGAATTTTGAGGCCATTGAGTTGTGGTATCAGAAAATTCTGTAAAATATTCATGCCAAGATAGGATGTGGATTGTGCATATCTGTACTCGAGAACATGGCCTGTATGGAACTATTTTGGGAAAGAAATCAATAGATTTTTATATTTGATGTTAAAATCTTCTCTGCAGAAGGGTTTCCAGCTCACCCCGGGGCACAGGGCCTTTCCTGGCCTTGGAGGGCTCCCCGTAGTCGGTGTCATCCGTGGACACCCCACTGTCCCCCTCTGCATCCAGGGAGCCAATGGTCTCCTCTAGGAACATCAAACACTCTTTCTCTTCCACAGATAAATAGTCATAGCTGTTGTCACTCTGGAAAAGAGAAGATAAAGATAAAAGAAGTTACATACTACATATATATTTTTATATGTAAATATATTTTATATATATATAAAAATCTAATATATATATATAAATATATATGTTGTATATATAAATATATATGTAATATATATAATAAATATATATGTAATATATATAATATATAAATACGCACATATATGTATATATATTAGATATGTATATATTAGATATGTATATATAGATAAATATATGCATATATTTTAATATAAAATATATCTTTAAAATACATGAAAAAATATGTCGTATATATAAAAATATAGATGTAGTATATCTTATATAAAAATTATAAATATATCTATTTACTAATTATATAAAAATATATTTATATATAAATATATAAACATATACATATATACATATATACATATATACATATATACATATATGAATAATATAAAAATATATATGAGAGGTTTACCTTATACTGCATATATATAATATATACATCGATAAATATATACGTAGTATATATACAGCATATATAAATATGTATAAATATATATGTATATATTTATAATAAATATATATATAAATATATAAGAAAGAGAGGTTTACTTTATACTATATATATGAGAGGTTTACATTATACTACACATATCTATAACTTTATATATATTTTAATGCATATTATTGTAATATTTTATATATTTATATTTAATGTCCAGGTAGTTTAGAGAGCCTGTGACGGCTGCTTGGCCAATGGCTGTTCAATAATGAGCATTTACAGCTCCAGAAAACTAGACCATCTCCTCTAAAAATAAGAAAAATATATATACTTAGAGCCTTTTCTCTATTACCCTGCTCTGTGGGTCAGCAGGTGGATTATTCTGAACTTGGGACCTTGGCCTCTAACTTTCAGTTCTTTAAACTGAAATGTGAGAGCTGGGTAACAAATCTGCAGGTACAGACACCTGCACTGCTCAGCAATGCTGAATCTTAGAAAACTCCACAAACACTGAGGTTCCTGTGCAGGTGATGAACTCTCCTTGTTCTCCATTCCTGAGCCAGAGTTGTTTAATTTTTGTTGTATTTTGAGCAGCAGGAGGTGTGTTATTGCAATATCAGATATCAAGGTGATTCCTGCAATCTGTCATGAACAAAATGAAGCTCAGGACAGGATGGAATGTGCATCAGATCAACAAGCACGGGGCAGGAATTATCCCAGGTGGAGTTGTTTTGCAGAGACACCTTATCCAAATCTTTTACTGTGCAGTATCACAACCTGTTCTTCCATCCCCATTAAACTCCGAGGGTTTGGTTCTGGTTTGCAAGACATTAACTGGAAAAGCTGCCAGGACTGAGCTGCTCTCACACATATCAATTATGCTCCGAGTCAGGCAGGATGTAATTAGCCCATCAATCTTGGGATCGGTGTCGGGAGACAAACAACTTTAATGGACAGATAGTGAAAAATTACATATCTACACCCATGGTCCAAACTCATCCCTGCCTTAACTGGGGAGTTCATCTGGTGCCGGGCAGGAGGAGCTCAGCTCGCTGTCTCCTCCAGGTGTTGTCACCCTGCTTGGAGCCAGTGGGACCCAGTCACCCAACTGGTCTGACCCCTGCAGCCCTGGGAGCACAGGAGCCTCTGCGGGGGGAGGGTCCTCTCTCCAGGGATCCCCTCTCCAAGGACAGCATCCCCTCTCCAGGGATTTCGTCTCCAGGGAGAAGATCCCCTCTCCAGGGATCCCCTCTCCATGGTTCTCCTCTCCAGGGAGATCTCTCCAGGGAGAGAATCCCCTCTCCAGGGATCCCCTCTCCAGGGTTCTCCTCTCCAGGGAGATCTCTCCAGGGACAGAATCCCCTCTCCAGGGATCCCCTCTCCAGGGAGATGATCCCATTTCCACGGATCCCCTCTCTAAGGACAGCATCCCCTCTCCAGGGATTTCATCTCCAGGGAGAAGATCCCCTCTCCACAGATCCCCTCTCCAGGGATCCCCTCTCCAGGGACAGGATCCCTGAGGCTGTTGAGCCAGAGACAGGCATTTCAGAAGGCAAATGAATGTTTATTCAAAAGTACCTCTCTCTTTTATAGGGACCATCATGAACATTAATTCCATTGGTCTTATAATAAAAACATTTCACCTGATTGGTACACTGCACTTAGGTCAGTGTGGTAGAACATGTCTATAAACAATATGAACGGAAAGCAAGATAATAAATTAGTGTTTACACTCCTCTCCAACTTTTTCCCAGGCTTAGCCTGGCAGAAACCTTTCTCTTATTCTCTCTGACTGAACTGGGAATATCCACAGATCCCCTCTCCTTGGATCCCCTCTCCAGGGATCCCCTTTCCAGGGACAGGACCCCCTCTCCATGGATCCCCTCTCCTTGGATCCCCTCTGCAGGAACAGGATCCCCTCTCCATGATCCCCTCTCCAGGGACAGGATCCCCTCTCCAGGGATCCCCTTTCCAGGGACAGGATCCTCTTTCCTTGGATCCCCTCTCCATGATCCCTTCTCCAGGGACAGGATCCCCTCTCCATGATCCCTTCTCCAGGGACAGGATCCTCTCTCCTTGGATCCCCTCTCCATGATCCTCTCTCCTTGGATCCCCTCTCCATGATCCCTTCTCCAAGGACAGGATCTGCTCTCCATGGATCTCCTCTCCAGGGATCTGTCCTGGCCTAGAGCAGCCCCTGCAGCCCCAAGGGCTCCCCACACACGTGGCAGGACGGGAAGGCTGGGAGTACTCTGGGGCAGGAATTCAGGAATTCACCTGCTCCTGCTGCTGTCTCAGGGCCTCCAGCTGCCTCCAAAGCAGGGCCAGAGAGCAGATTTGGGCTGACACCTGCCCAAAATCCTTCTCCAGCTCAGAGGGGTGAGCTGGGCTGGGCACCCCGGGGTTACTCACCCGCTGCGAGTGGTTGGAGGCCGTGCTGACCATGCTGTCACAGCTGCCAGAGTTGCAGCCAGCCATCCCCAGCTCCTTCCTAGGCATAGCACGGGCTGCCCTGGAGGTGGGCACAGCAGGAATATCCTGGCTGGAGCAGGAGAGAGGAGAAGCATTAAGCTGTGAGGATCCCACTGGGGTGACTCAAGCACGCTGGGAGGGAGGACAGGCAGGCTCTGAAGCTGCTGGATGAAGGAGCTGTGCTCTGTATTCAGCTGCTGTCTCCAGGAGAAGGCATAGCTGGGCTTTTAGAAATAATTCTTGAAGTTTTCCTCAAAATAATTGGGAATGGGGTGTGGCAAGGACATTTCTCTCCTTCTCAGGATTTTTTATAGAGGTACACAGAGAGAAATGAAAGAGAAAACAATTTCTATTTCTGCTCCTTGTTTTTCCTATGTGGAATGTGTTTGGAGAATTGTTTCCCTGGGGAGATTGCTGGGTTGGATTCTGGTAAGGATTGTTTGAGCCTGGTGGCCAATCCAATCCAATCCAATCCAATCCAATCCAATCCAATCCAATCCAACCCAATCCACCTGGGGCTGGGCTCTCAGAGAAGGTCACGAGTTGTGTTAGAGATAGGGTCAGAGAAAGTAGTATGTAGTTTTAATATCCTCCTTTTGTACAGCATATTGATGTATTTTAGCATAGTTATAATAAAGAAATCATTCAGCCTTCTGAATTGAGTCAGACATCAGCATTTCTGCCCATTGGCTTCGCCTGCATTTCCAATAATGGGGTAATCTCTGCACAGCCAGCTCGTGCTGGTGGCTCCCTGCTCACCTCAGAGGGGTGGATGAGCACAAGGAAAGCTGCAAGCCCGGCTCAGAAACCCCAGCCCCGACTCATGGCACCTCTTTCCTCTGCCACACCCCGTGCCAGCCCTGCAGCTTGAACTTGTGAACGTGCTGGCCCAAAGTGCTGCTGGTTACTCACATCCTTGCTCTGTCAGGAGCTTCCTCCTGGCAAGGAGCTGCCTGTGCCACCCTTCCCAGGGAGGTGTCCCCAAGGAGGTGCCCCCAGGGAGGTGCCCCCAGGCCTTTGGGGCACGCCTGGGTGTGTTTGGGCACAGCCTGTGGGGAGCAGGGCAGGCTGGGGCTGTGCCCAGGGGGGTTCAAGCAGCACCCCAATGTCCCCTCTGCTCACAGCAGTGATGCAGCCCAGATCTCCCATCGCCAGTGGGACCCCAGTGTGGCGGCAGCTGCCCAACAAGCAGCCTGGATTTGGGTTTCCCCCACTGCCAGGTGGCAGAGGGGACAGTTATCCCTGCCCAGAGCTCTGCTGAGCACCCACAGAAGGTGGCATTACTGATGGATGCAAAGCAGCAAGCTTCCAAAATTCCTGGCACCACCAACTAAGTCTCCTCCACGTGCACCACCCTGTTCTTGGGAAGGGAACTGGGCTGTGGGGGCGAGAGGGAGCAGCACAACAAACACCAACAGCCCCTGCAAGACACACGCGAGAGGATTTGCTCCTCGGGAGACAGAGGAGCCCTTTGTGCTGTAACCTGCAGGCAGGAACACACTGCTGCTTTTTTTTTTTTTTTTTTCCTTGTAGCAGGATCAGGGAATTAGATCCAGCGATAAGTGAGCAGAACTGGCTGCTTGTTCAGAGCGTTAGACCCTGAAAGAATTCCTTTGTAATTGGAATACGCCGCAAAAATCAGATTGCAACACCCACGCCCTGACAGGTCTAATCCCTCCACGCAGGAGGAGTTTAATACTTCAGTTTCAGCTTTGCATTATTTACTACTTAAGTGACGTTGAAGTAAATGGTGGCTTTGGAACAGCAGTTCCCTGGATTCTTTGAATTCAGATCTCTCCACAGACAGGGATTTGAGCTGTCAGAGCAGAGCTGAGCTTGGGGGACTTCAGGCCTCTGCAGGGTTTTGCTGTGCACTGGAGCATCCACAGTGTGAAATTTAGATTTCTATCAAAATTCGGATATAGATTTCTAGATTTACACCGACTCCTCAGTAACAGGAGGCTTGGCCATGGTTGTTGTGCTGCTCCTGGCTGCCTCCCTCCCAAATTTCAGACAGCAGAACCCTCCTGGGGAAGTGAAAGCCTTGCTGGAACTTGAGTGTGCGGCTGGTTGGGGCCAGCAGGGAAGCATTTTCTCCATGAGGATCCCCCCCACCACCAGTCCACTAAAGAAATCACTTTCTATCATTGAAACAGCATTTGCAGGGACCTCAAGCAGCTGCCAAAGTTTTGGCACCCACTGAGCCCCAGCTCATGGGAGGCAAAGTCCAGCCCGAGCCCGCGGGCTGCAGAGGATCTGCACCGAAACAAGAAGTTCCTTTTCCTGCCCATTAGTTCTCCGATGTGATACAGCTCCAGCACACTCATCCAGCTCGGAAAAGGGGAAAAATCAGTGTTGAAACCCCCAGTTTTAATGACTCAGAAGGATTTTAGTTCCTTCTTTGAGGTGAGTAACAGCCACAAACTAAAAACGCAACTGAGCATTTGGTTTAAAAGACACGGTACTCCAAAAGCTGTTTTATAGCTGGGATTCAGTGGTGCAGCTCTCTTCCCCAACTAAAAACATATCTGGAAGAAGGTCTTTTTTACCCAAATCCAAAGGCCAGGTCCCTCAGCTCTTGTGGCCGTTGCCATAACTGTCCTTTAAAAACCATCAAAGAGGTGCCGGGTAGCAATTAATGCTAATTGCTTTAGAGAAGAGGCTACTTTCTTTCAGCCAGCAGCACTCTAAGCTCTTCATCCCCGGTTGGAACACCTCGGTTTTGCTGTCTGGGGGGCAGAGCAGCCAGACCCCTTCAGCCTGAGAAAGGCTCTGTCCTGGCCAGCCCCAAACACAACCCAAAGCAAACCCCCCTCTGCAGGCACCGTCCCAGCTCTGAGCAGCCCAGGGAGATGGATCCCAGCTCAGGGGCAAATCTGAATTTCCTAAGCAAACC